TCCTAATTTTGCTGCTGTTGGTTAAACAGGGATGTTAATGCTGTGGCACTCCTAGCATAACATTTTTCAGTACTACAAATTTGTAGTATAAAAAAGAATAAAAATACCCCAAAAATGAAGTTACCAGGAGAGAAAGAACTGGATAGGCCAGTAGAAAGCGATTGTAGGGAATTTAGAAATTTCTCCTTTTCTTGCTGAGATACACCTGTGTTACTTGTAGTCAGTTCTTATTCCTCTGTTAGATTTGCTTATGCATTTTGATAGATGAGAAAAGAGCAGACCATGTGAGTTTTAAAAGAAATTATAGATTTAAGTATTAATATTTCTATCTTTTTGTCTGTGGGGAGCAAATTAACTTTTCTTTTGAAGTTCTGTGAAGTAAAACATTTCAACATTTAATGCCGCTTGCCTGAGGATAAAGAAAGGAAGAGAAAGTAATATTTTTGGATAATTGGAAATGTAATTCCATCAAAGTAATTATTGGCTGGTATATCTACAACGATGAGGAGTGTGAAGGTTTTGCTTGCCTTTTTGCTTGGCTTGCTCTTACACTGGAATAGTCATGGTCAGTAGCACTGTGGAGTACCACACAGCTCGCCTTCCATCAAGGGAAAAAGGACAGAGTTGAAATATATGCAAAACTAGAAAGTTATGCTGGAGATGCAAAGAAAAGGGTATTTGTGTCATTTGGGTGAGAAGAGCAGGGAATGCAGGACTGTATTGATTTTTCATTTTTTTTTTTCCTCCAAGATTAGAATGGTAAATGTTCACAAACTCTTAAGCACAGTAATTTTGCAAATTACTTTATTGGTTAAAAGTGCTACTTTTATTTACCTCAGTTATATTTGAAGAGGGTAAGCCACAGATAATGTCATGTAAGCATTAAATATAGTACTTGTTATAAAAATGGCTATTTCTAGTAGGTCAAGACAAACTGTTAACTTGTGATTCAAAACATTTAGCACCTTATATTTTGTAAGCTTACTGCAGAGACTAGTGTTAATATTTATGTGAAGTAAAACCAGATTTGCATTGGCTGTTGTGATTGTTTAAATACCTTTTATTGGAGTGTAATGAAGCATGTTTTAGTTACACGTCACAGCCCTGCCAAGCAAACTGATAACTAAAACTGCAGTTTCTCTGGGTTTTGATATTTAACAAGAACAAAACTCAGCTTTAGGATGGATCCTCTTAATCTGTAGTCTGGTTTGTTACTGCGTGTTTCTGTTGCTGTAATTTGGGAAAATAGCTCATGCTCATGGCTGCGGATAGGGCAAACACCTTCATTGGTGCCTAAGCCTTTTAGGGTCAAAAGTGTTACCTTTTCTGTTCTAGTATGTAAATTGAGCAAGACATAAGTGAGACTGTATGGAAGGGGAAAGCACAGAACAGAAAAGTTGGAGAGACTAGGAATGATGTGTATGGATGTCTGGTATGGTTAAAAAAAAAGGTTATTTTTTCTTTTGTTTGAGGAAATAGTTGAACATCTTTGGATTCATGGCAGAAGTGAGATTTAATAGAATAAGATTTGACAGAGGGAATGTGGTTTTTTTTCATTTAAAAATATGTTAAAAATTTGTTCTAAGGTCAAATCTTTAATTGTAAGATGCTGTCTTTAACTTCCAGAATGAAAGCCAGTGATGATAGAAAATCACTGCTCTTTTCTAACTGTTAATGTTGAAGTGGAAACAACATTTTGTTCTGTACTTCTTTATCTCTCTTAAATTGTTAGACAGCCTGTGTGAGGTTAGATTGTAGCAGAATAAATTAAGGCTTACATTTGGCTAAAAACTTATGGTACTGTAGGAAGGAGGGCATAAAGGATACATTTCTGTTTAGTAAGAACATAAGAGCAATGGCATCATTTTTTGTTTCCATAGGGTTGTAGAATATTTTGAGTGTGGTCTCACCAATAGTGTTTTGTGGATGTATAATTAATAGGCACTGAACTACTAGTTTTATTTATTCTGAAGACTGGAGAACCTATGTAGCTATATAAAATGTGGCCTTTCGGAAATAGAACACACTATAGAAAAAATAATCTTGACATACATATTGGCATTAATATTGATAAATTTGGTCTCAAAGTGGCTTTTATTGAAAGTACTTGGGAATTTGGATTTGAGTCATGTTTACCCTAGACAAGTAGAAACAATTTTAGCAATTATAAATAATTATGAGTAACAGAAAATCAAATATCACAATGTTAATTTTTACTCTGGATTCTCTCCATTCTACCTGGATAGTTCCTTGGTATCAGTAGGTCATGAACGCTTCTAAAATGCAAATATCTATATAGTTCGTCATTCACTGTGGATAAGGACTCATCATGGCGCTCATATTTAGAGGAAGAAGGTGTCTGACAGAAGGTCTGAAGAACAAATATGAGCATGTGAGATAGGTAATAGATTCATTTGTCCAGCTGCAATGTGATGTACCTGACCTTGGTGTGACCACACATCGCAGCTGAGTGGTCAGAAGAGGCTCCCATGTCCAAATGTCCCTGATCCCCCAGCATAAATCATTGCCTGGCATGTGCAGCTGACCTGAACCCCAGATTGTTAAAGTTCACCACTTAGCATGTTAAACATAATGCTAGCTTTTATTTACTGGTATATTGAGCACTGTGTATAATGGTGTTCTGGGAGCTGCTGTGAGTTCACTCTGTGAAACGAGTTTGTGCCTACTTGAATCTCAGAGTGGCACCTACTGCCACAGCTTTGCTGAGGTTCACCCCTTAGTGTGCAGCTCATAGAGGTGGATATGGTTTATTGCCAATCTCACTACTCAAGCAGAGTCTTGAAGCTGCCTCGTGATGTAGGGTTCTGTAATAGTTTTTTCACTTCTCAAGTATGGAGGTGTAACATCAAAAATACGCTGTTATTTTGATCCTTCTTTTAGTCTAAGCAGCTTTTTTTAGTACGTGTGTAGTTGGAGTGCAGCTCTTAAGTGAGCTGAGCAGTAGCTATATCTTATCTGCTCTGTTTCACCAGCTCTGTTAGAGGAGGAATGCCGAGAATGAAAAGCATGCAGCTAGCACCTGCAGGATGAAAAGTGTGTGCTAAATGAGTTACTTAGCATCACGTAGGAGCATGGCAGCAGCACAGGTGCAGTCCTTTCCTTTGGAGTAGCATTGCACTACCTAAGTCATGGGCCAGGCTTTATCGTTGTGCTGTTTTCTGAGTTACTCATAACTCATATTCATGCCCCTTTCAAAACACAGGAAAGAAATCTATTAAGGTGAATCTCCTTCAGTACATAACCTCAAGTTCACTGCTCTTTATGTAGAATTTGATGGACTTGTTGAAAGGAACCACGCATGACATTTTAATTGCAGTAAATACCAAGAAAAGCATTGTGTCATGATGGTGTAGGAACTATCCAACCTAGTAAACATCAACTTTTTTGATTCTTGATTCTTCAGTGCTGTATTATGGTTTAGGCTAATCTACCAAGTATTGTTTCTTACTTAATATAGATGCATTTCCAGTTGCAATTTTATGCCTTTTCCTCCAGGACTGGTGCACACTTTGTTCTTTTAAATGAAATTTAAATGAAATGAAAGGTTTTATTTTTATTTTGAGTGTGTTGGGAATTTTAACTGGCAGACCTCTGCTATTTTCTGCACCCCATACTTACACGTGCTCCTGACAGCTGTGAAAGGAGGGTGGGAGTGCGGACAGCAGAAACCCACACTGTGCTCTGCTCGTCGCATGATCAGTGACTTTGTGATTTGAAGCCATACTGTAGAGAATACCTACCCCAGACTGGCCAGTGGCTTCTTGCTCATTAGCCTTCACCCCCTGTAATTAGTCTTCATGGCATCCTTGCTTCCAGCTGAGGCCAAGTCTACAGAATATCCGCAATTAAAACTGTCATGTTAAATGTCTTGAGATGGTTACGTCACTGAGCCAGCAATGTGGCTTTGCAAGATTTGTTCCATCTAATGCTTTTCCCCAGTTCTCCATTCACAGTTTTTTAAGAAATAAGAAGTGGCGTAACTTTCTCTGAACAGAATTGTTTATAAGGATTACTATACTGGTTTTACTTTGCTGTGTGGGTTTTAAATGAGTCGTAACACATAGTAGACAGTATTTTTCTCTAATGTCTCCTACCTCATAAATCTGTTTTATGCAAAAGCTCAGTTATTCTTTCATATTGTCATAAGGAATGATAGGGAGGTAGACAAGTAAGGCTAGAAACGCTTATTTTAATTTTTAATCTTTTTTTCTTGAACAGTGGGTGGATTTTTTTGAAAGCTCAGATGCATATGACCACCTCTTGATCTATATGAACTCTGAAGTATGTCTACTAGTGAAATACTAGAACCCAAATTTCCTTTAATTGCCTATCTTGTGACACTGGCAAGATGAAAGCTCAGTGCCAAGCTGTGATAAAGTCTTATATTTTCAGTTAATTTTCATTTCTCCATTTAAATGTGCAATACTGCATTTCTCTTGGCCAGAATTTGGGTAGTTGGAATGGTTCCTATTGAACTGTGTATTCTTCCTTCCAAGAGTTGGCAGTGGTGAGGAGAAGAGAGGGAGTAAGTGCTACTAATTTTTAAAAGCTCTGGTATTTTGAAAGTCGTGATCTTTAGTAGTTTGCAATTGACTTTTAATAGACAAAACACAGCCATCTAAATATGGTACTTTTTATTAAAACAAGATCACTTTTCTGACTCAGTGTTTTCAGGCACTCCTCAATAGTATTTGAATTCCAATTTGAGATTGGAATTCAAATAATGTATTTCATGTTTCATTGCTTGCAGAGGAGGAAGAAGCTGCGCCTCAGGAATTTGACTTCATCCCCCAAAACATCTGATGCTTATCTTGCATGTGAATTTTTGTAACAATTATGTGGATATATACATGAAATATATGTAATGTAGCTGTCAAATTCTGTGTTAAAAAAAATGTGTGCTATATGTGATTATTTTATTTTTATTTATAAGCACATATATAGAAGTGCAAACAATGTTTCCATTTGTTGCTTTTCAGGGGATATAATTTTCAATGCTCACTATCCTGACCTACCACCAGATTTTATCTTTGGAGAGGATGCTGAGTTTTTGCCAGATCCTTCTGCCTTGCATGTAAGTACTTTACTATTTGAGAACCTTACACCTTGCAGAGAGACTTTGCTTTTTTTAGCATAGCTTCAGGAACAGGAATTTTATAACAATGCAAAATAAAAAAGAAACACACCTTTTATCACACTGATATTTTGAGTGTAAACACATCGCTTTCTAAAATGATTTAAAGTTGAATTTAAAGTTGAATTTGTTGCTTTCCAAAATTGAATTTAAGGTTAAAATGGGGGGAAGGAGGAGGGGGATGCAAAGTTTAAAACATTTTAATCAAGACAATATTCTTGTTTATCTTTAGTTACTAAGAATATGTGTAAAAATATGTCTATTTAATATCTGACCATCTTAAATGACCTGTCTCAGAAAAAAGTTCATAAATGATGTCTTTAAAATTATTTATCTGGAAAATAAAGTTGTGTAAATTGGTGTCACATTGTTGATTTTTGGTTTTGGTTGAGGAAGGCTATATCGAGTTAATTTGTTATGGGAATCACTGCATTAAAGAAAGCTATGTGCTCATGTGTGTTGGGGTTATCTAGGCAAAGAAATTACTTTCTAAAAGATGGGAGGAACAGAAATTAATGAGAAAATGCCTTTATACAGCCTTATTACTACGGAAGGGGAAACAGCACAACCTGAGAGCAATCATTTTGTTCACTAGTCACAGTTAGCCTCAAGTAGTAAAGCCTTGTTTGAAGAAGCTATCAGCGCTTATGCTTTTACAATAGTTCTCCCTCAGAACTTACTAATGGGACAGTGCAGAGCCCTTGTCTGCAGCTCCTCTTGTGCTTCATGAGCACATCTCCAGAGGTCCCCAAAGGAATTCGGTGGCTGTCGTGCTGTGGTACTGGTGTCATGGTGGAGGTTGAACATGTCCTTGATGTGTGACATGACAAGTGTTGGCTTTTGGTTTTACCTTTCACTTCATAGTGAGTTATATACAAGGATCAGAAGAATTAGTTTTAATAATTATTTTTAGCATACCTAATAAAACTTTCAAAAGGTGAATGCCGTATTTCTTTTCTTCTCCGGGTCACTTTGCTGTTAAGCTCACAAACTCCTTTGGGTAGGAGGCTGTTCATCATGGTGCTGAGTCTTGAACAGCTATTTCATTATGCTACTTTATAGAAAAGGTTTTTCATTCTATGGCAATTCTAGAATTGTTTTCACACTCCTTTATTTACAAATTCTGTTGTCCTCTTTTTCTCATTTGTTTCACAACCTTCACAATTATACAGCCTTCTGAGAAGTGTTCACATTAGCAACTACTTTTTATAGTTGATATTAAAAAAGCGAAGCACCTTTTAATGTACTGGAAAACTGAAATTAATAACAAATTGCAAATGACCTATAAAATAATTTGGGGCATCTTGCAGAAATGCTGTTCAGATGGAAAAGCTTGCTGAGAGTGGTACGGTGCCATATTTCTCATGTGAAAAGAAGTCACTAACAGTTGTGATCTACAGGAAAACCTGCAAAGATAAAAACATCCTTATTTTTCTTTCTTTCTTACATTGTTCATTAATGATGCTTTTGTTTGGGAGTGTTGCTTTTCTTCTGCCTAAGCATAGAAAAAAACTTGTTGTCTTTTTTGTTGGAAAGCAACTTGGAAGAGCTATTTGTTTCTTGATACATAATGAGATATTAACCAGCCTATTAGAAAGTAATTAGAACAAACCAAAGAAGGAATCTGCAAGCCAACAGTGTTCCTTTGGTCATTATGCCTTGCTGAAGCATTTACTATGTAAATGTAACCTTCAGTTTGTTCTGAGGTATTGGAGGATGTTATTCCCACCTTGCAGCTGTGGTCTGCATACTGTTCCTTTAGTTTTGCATTCACTTTTTAAAGTTCCATATGGTTTGTAGATTTTTTCTTCAGAATGTTGCATCAACAATAACTTGCTTATTATGTGAAGTCTTTGAATAGCTACCTTTTTTCCAGAAATGTGAGAGCTGTTTAATGAAGATAATTTTAATTGAATTCTAAGATATTAGCAGAATTCTTAAGTATGTTAACATAGCTGTCTACTGACTAGAAGTCAAATACAGATCAGCACATTGACCATAATTCAGTGCTTTTAATCTTGAGCAGTCTTCAGATACTTCTGATGCAACAGTTCCTGGCAATCCAAACAGAATCTACCATGCACAAAAGCATGTAGATGTTATTCAATGAGGAGCACAGTCTCAAAGTAAGTAATATGTGCCATTGAATCTGTGGGAATTCTGACATTGAGCCTGCATGCTCTGGTCTCATCTGTCTGAGTGTCTTGTTTTTTAAGAAGTCATCACATGTTGTTAGATGGCTTGAGTCAGGCATTATGCTTAGCATGAAAGGAGAACCGGGTACTCCAGATTCCTCAGGCTCGTGTGGCTCTAATGGAGGCTCTCAGTAGGCATCCCCAAAGACATTTGAATGGCTGTGTTGCAGATTGTTTCAGTTTCCATGGCCATGGGCAGAGCTTCCAGTTAGGTTTTCATCTGAGCATGGTAATAGGTGTAGCTGTTAGCCAGACAGCTAAAGCAAGATTCCAGAAATACTGCATTCTAAAAAGTGAATGCTGTCAAGGAATAGTTCCTATTTTGGGGCTTTTTTTATTTATTTATTTTCCCCAGAGAATTCCTGAATTATCAGAACAGTATTTCAGCAGAAGCCTGAGCACTCTTGTTTTATAAGCAGGGCTAATGCTTTCTTGAATGAATACTGCAATTGCAGAATCAAGTTGAAAACGCTTATTGAAATTTAGCTTTGCTTTCGTGTCTTGCACCAACATTAAAGTCACCTGGATTTGAAACTCAGCTTGAGTCTCAAGTTCAGCACTGCAAAGTATGTGCTTGGTTACATGTCTTAGCAGTAGTGGTCACTCTGCTGGGGTCTAACTGTGTGCATGCTGATCCTGCCAATGATGTCAGCATTGCAGAGTGCTTCAACAAGGGGCAAGTGGTCCTTTTGGTTTGTTGTACAGTTTTAATTCTAGTGAACGGGCTAAATTCTTTAGGTTGGTGGTGCTGTTCATGCTCAAAGAATTATTAAAAAGAAACATTTTTACATTTTATTGTCATTAAGAATGTTTTCCTATCAAATGCATTTGATACTTGCATGTATAGTATGCATAAATAAAATCAGCTTCTTAGAATGCGAATAGAAAAGTTCTTTCCTGCTCTAGTGTTTATTCATTTTGGATGACAAGTATTAGAAATGTATTTTAAAAACAACCTATGATTCACTCCGTTCTGATTAAAAATTCAGTTGGCACACAACAAGATTAGTGATTGTGTACGGATGAGATTAATTTGGAGCTCATTACCATGACGCCAGTTTGAGTAACAAGAATTGTTTGTTATGTTAGCCTAGTTGATTGTTAATGTGAGCCAGTTAATAGCTGAAGTGCTTATTCAAAATGTTAACCCCATTTTTCCAATGATTTTGAATTATCTTCTGTTTGGCAAAGAGGATACAATAGAAGTATAAGCAAGGTAACTGTCAGTTCAAGGAAATGGGTATCTTAGTATTCTACTTCAGGTCTCCAGCTAGTCTTGCCAGAATTATTCTGCCCACTCATTGCTATCGAAAAGGCTTCAATAGCCATGGTGGGATTGAAGGCAAGAGGACATGAGCATTTCCTGAAGCCTAGTAAGTTCTGAATGTGTCCTTGTCGGCTAGTATATAGCATATTCCTTGTGGGAATACTTAGTGATGCTTTTGCATGGGAGCAAGATGCTGTCATCACAGACCTTCAGAGAATAGGCTGCTGCAATTCTCATGCCTGTACCTAGCACTGGGAGGATTGTTTTCCCTTGTGTAATTCTTGATACTGAGTACAGATTCCAGTCACTGTGGAGTTAATTCAAATCATTGTGCTACTCAAGTGTATTGGCTGTCAACTCTATATCTTCTGTAGACCAATATTTGTTTTTAAGTTCTTGTATTTATGCTTATTAGACTTATTTGGCTATATGAGGACTATCGTGAAGGTTGTATTTTTTTCTGGATCTCTGTTCAAAGTCTTGATCATTATTTCTGTTGGTTGCTGAGTAAGCTTTTAATGTGTAGTGCAGAGATCCTTTAAATATCCCCCTTTTCCATTAATTTTTATTTATTTACTCAGGTGCATGAGACACATGTTTAACAGTGTCAGTTGTCACCCTGCTCACAGTAGCTCCAAAAAAGCTTAAACACCCCTTATATTAATTAATGCTCTTTGAACTATTTTGTTCTAAAAAGTCTGTCTGTTGTATTATTAGCAAGGATTCAGCTGTTATGTGTTGTAGTGTGAGAGCTCCCCATAAGGGCAATGAGTTCGTTGGTTTTAGAGTGTGATTTTAAAATATAAAGCCACAGCAGTGAGTTCTGCTTGTCTGAGAAATGCATGGGTGAGTTCAGCCTGTTTAGCTCTTTTGTGTGTTGTATCTCAAATGGCAGCAGCAGATTTCATTCTTGGACCCCCTAACCTGCTGCTCTTGTAATGAAAGCCTTGAATTACTTCAGCTTCAGTTGAACTTGGGGACTTTAAGTGAAACGGAATGCAGAATTGGATCCTTCAGTTTATTAGAATTCCTTATTTTTAACTACTCTATATTCCCATTTATTGTGTTCATTTTTCAGCCATGTCTTGACTTTATATCTCAACATATCTTTTGATTAATTATAATCCCATGTTATTTAACATTTAATTTTCTGAAACAAATATGAATTCTGAAAACTTTTTATTCCTGTCCCTCTCTATTGATCCTACCTATTTGTATATATGGGGAATGCAGGTATGTGTGCACACATGTATATATATGTGTATAAATATATATATATATGCATATAGTCACTGCAGCCTTGCTGAAGTTTGTCTGGTATTGATAGGCAATGGGAAAAAACTACATTTTATACCATCAGAGAAATAATTTTTTCAGGAACTTTCCCAAGGACTTTTTGACTGGTATTGTTAGCACTTACGGGATACATTTTTGTTCACGTTTTTGAAAATAGAGATATACCAGTGCAGCACTCCTTT